TGTGAATTGTAAATTCAAAGTGAATCTCAAATTAAATACAAAAAACTGACAAACTGAAATCCATTTGAGAATATTTCCAATTATATATTTATAAAATAGTTTACGAGGAAGGAGAAATTAAGATTTCTCCCATTTTCAAGCATGTAGGGACACATACAGTACAATTAGAGATACATTGCTACATAATATAGACATAGAGATACATTTCTAAATTATAAATTAAGATGGATGCATTTCTTTTCAGGGGTGGCAGACTTGATGTTCTGACAGGGTATTCAGAGTTATACAGAAGAAATCTCTTCCACTGGTTTTAAAAATGGAAAATAAGGAATAGAAATGATAATGCAGAGGTGAGGGCAGCACAAGCATTATGCAGCGTAGGTACCTGCCTACAGGCACCTGTCCACTTGGGGGTGCCTATTTCAGCACTTATAATGTGCCTTTTTGGAGCTTAGATAGGCTGGCGTGGAGATAAAAATTAAAGGGGAAAAAAAAGGTTTGTCGGTTTTACAAGGAGAATAGATCTTCATAGGACAGCTAGAAAATACAAGTGTGCTGTGCAGTTATATGCATTAGTCATCAAGTATCTCCTAGTAGCTGATAGATTTTAGGCAACATTTGCAATATGTAAACCAGTAGCAGTGTCACTTTATAAGTATCCAATATCAGAGTATTAAATCTGATATGTAAAGGTTCCACACGTATAACGTATATACAGCAGGGAATATAGCTGATGCAGAGGGCCGAGGAGAAGGACACAAGAGATATCAAAGCTATGCTAGCTCCCTGACTTTGAGGGCACCTAATATCCTGCTTAAACTGAAATACTATGTAAGCTCCCTGATCGTGCCTTCGAGGCCATAACTGTCCTAAGTAGTCCCTACAATGCTTGTAATACCAACAAACTTATTTTATCTTTTAGAAAAGTAAAATTTTAATGTGTGTAAATATACACGCATGTTCTAGGAAAAACTAGGCCTTTAGTAATTCTTGCAGTTTCTCTAAATCTGCAATGGTTTACACTACATCCAGACCACTTCAATGAGATGTAACCTGAGATAAACCTGAAAATAACCTTTTACCTTAAAAGAACACTATAGGATCATGAACACAAACATGTATTCCTGACTAATATATCTAGCCCCATGATTATAAATAGAATACTCACAGCAAAAAGTCAATATATTTTTGATTATTACTTTGACTGAGTGGTGATGTTGAAGATGGCATAGGCATACATCGATCTTGCAATTGATTATTCATATGTAGCATCTTTGCAGTCTAACGATACTAAAAAATAACAAGGATAAAAAGAATGGATAAAAATTTTGCCCCAATCAAAAGTTAGTTTTAAATAATAATTTGTTGCCATAATTTTACTCAAATGGTACGATCAGTGCTTTCAATTACCTATACAAATGGTTTTAAATCCGGTTCTCAAGGCACACCAACTCTTCAGTCCATTCAGGTATTTCACAATACTGGTCCATTGAGGATACAAAAAAAAAAGTTTGTTTTTATATAGTTCTTGCTGCTTACAGTAAAGTCGAGAAAGGCAGACTGGTGCAGTAGGAGCCCATAATTAGAGGCCACAGGCACCCTCCTTCTAACCCTTTCTTCATATACTTCCCATACTCAGACTGGATTAGGTATTTGCCACCTTGATTTGTGTTTATATGCTTTGTGCATATAGCTTTGTGTCCTGTAGAAACTTTTTGGCCTATTTACTGGCCCAAGTCCTTCTAAGGACAATTGCCCATGTAAACCTGGACACTGAGTTACTTTCACATCCAGCCCTCAAATGCTGAAGTCCTCCTGAGGGAAATTGCCCATTTTCCAACAAGTAAACTTACACACCGATTTACCTTCACATCCAGCCCTCTAAGACCATGAAAATTGAGATCTATGCCAGTCCAAAGTTATTAGCACCCGGATAATTTTACAATAATCTTACACCTACAGGTGTGCACATTTCACTATTGGGTGACTGGTTTTGTTATTTTTGCTCACTATATAATAATAATGAGCTTTTAATTGCTTGAATATTGTGTATCATATTTTGGGGTTCACTGATGTACATATCCATTGGGAAAGTTAAAAAAATCTAACATAGAATATGAAAAATGTTCTGTCAAAATGAATCAATATTGCATGCATTAGACCCTAGAATTGTTGTGTTGTAGTTTGGAATACTTCTGGAATGTTATATGTTATAAATAGAACTCAGAGACATTAAAAGAATGTTACTTTATTCCGGTCATTTTTGGAGAACACAGGTGTGTGAGATCCAGAAATGTAAACATTCTGATAATCTTACATATGAATTATCAAAGTGAAACTTGGACAGCAAACTGTTTTAAATACACAAAACATTGCGTGCTATAGGAAACCAGTGATGGCTGGTGTTTTAGAAGGAGACATAGGGGCATAAAACGTGCTCTGAGTTCATGGGGCTAATAGCTTATATTCCTTACCACATATTACCATGATGGTGCCTTGTCACAACACATTAAAGGATACCTGTCATGGCTTGTTACACTTACCATAAATAACATATTCTTCAAATTTATTCTATACATTGTGCTAGCCAAATTGCTAGCAAATGTGTAGCTTTATTTAAAAATAGCCACCATCTTTGCGCTTCCTCTCCTTTCTGGCAACAGACTGTCAGCAAAGAGTGATCAGCCACAACATTAAAACCACCTGCCGTTTATCATGTAGGTCCACCTCATGCTGGTTTAGTCTATTGAATATACAGGGGCCTTACGAGTAGGACCAAAATAAAGTGTTATCTAACTCTCTCAAATTATAAATTTGGCACAACCATCAAAAACAACAGAACATGTTTAACAAATGTGACTTCCTACTGAAGTCGGAGGAGTTTATTAACATCAGTGGAGATTGTATAAATTGCCCAACATCACTTTACCTGACATTCAAACTAAAGTTTTGAGGCAGTGCCATTCACAAATAAAGTAGCAGCGTTATTCACTGAAGTCAGAATCCAAAGTGAATTTGAAATGCATTTTATGGTCAAAATAGAGGAACTGGAAACATTCCCCGAGTCAGCTATGCTTTGACGTTTGACTATTTTGGAATACAATTTGAAATTTACTTCAAATTCACCTTCAATTCTCACTTTAGTGAAAAACCCTGTTAGTTTGACAGTTCTCTTTCAGTTCGATGAGGGTGCAAAGAGTCAATAGTGAGTATATATTTCACAATAATTTTTTTTAGTAAACACAGGGACAGACCTGTCTTTAATACGCAGCGTGACTTGAAGTGGTAATGGTTATGTTGAGGGGTCTATAGTAGTCAGAGTAGATTAAAGTGTTAAGGGGTATATGATGTGGACAGTGGTCTGAAATTACTATTATAGCCTAACGCAGAGGTGGGCAAATTGTGGCCGTGGGCTACATGCGGCCCGCCGAGAGTTTTTGTGGCCCGCCAAGCAGAGGCGGCTCTCTGAGGGCAGACTGTCAGTGACCGAGGACACGACACCAGGAGGGTGCCCTGCGGCTTGCTCAGTATGCCGCCGGGTGCGAGGCCCCTCCTGTCTGCCCGGCCACCATCGCAGACACTGGTCTGCAGCTCCGCAGTGAGCAGAGCTGCAGACCATGTGTCTCGCCGAGAAATGGCCAATCAGAGCGTTGCCGCGGATTACCTCGGCAACGCTCTGATTGGATCTTGCGAGATTCATGGTCTGCAGCTCTCCGGAGCTGCAGACTTGAAGTAATGACCACCAGGGAGCCCACCGGACCACCATGGTTATATTAAAGGGACACTCCAGGCACCCAGACCACTTCTGCCCATTGGAGTGGTCTGGGTGCCAGTTTTTATAAACTGCAATAATTACCTTGCAGGGTTAACTCCTCCTCTAGTGGCTGTCTATTAGTGTTAACTCCTCCTCTAGTGGCTGTCTATTAGACAGCCACTAGAGGGCACTTCCGTGTCTATAGCACAGGTTTTCTGTGCTAGAACGTCGCTGGACGTCCTCACATCGCCCCCCCTCACCATCAACCCCCCTCCCTCAGCATCACCCCTGTCACCATCACCCCGCCTCCCTCTCACATCGTCCCCCCTCCCTCCCTCCCTCCCTCTCAAATCACCCCCTCCCTCTCAAATCACCCCCTCCTGCTCTCAAATCACCCCCTCCTTCACCATCACCCCCCTCTCCCTCTCACCATCCGCCTCCCGCACCATCCACTTTCCTCTCCTGTGTCACTTCCATCCTTTCTCCTGCACCACAATACTTTCACCTCCCTCTCACCATCACCCCCCTCCCTCTGACCATCAGCCCCTCTCCCTGTCACCATCACCTCCCATCCCTGTCACCATCACCCCCTCTCACCAACACACCTCTCTCCCTCTCACCATCATCCTCCACACCATCACCTCTCTCTCCCTGTCACTTGCTTCCGCACCCCTCCCCTCCGCCCATTCGCTTTACACCATCTTTCACCTGCCACTGTCTCCTCACTCCCTCCCTCCACTTTTACACCATCACTGCTTCCACCGTTCTCAAAAATGCCCGTCACCATCACCCACTCCCCTCCTGCCATCACCCCACCATCACTTATGGAAGTCACCATCACCCCCCCTCTCCGCGTCACCACTCCCTCCCTCTTATAGAAACATAGAAACCTTAGAAACTGCTAGATGTGGCTGACCGGATGCTGGAACCATTCGGCCCATCTAGTCTGCCCAATTTTCTAAATACTTTTCATTAGTCCCTAGCCTTATCTTATAGTTAGGATAGCCTTATGCCTATCCCATGCATGCTTAAACTCCTTTACTGTGTTAACCTCTACCACTTCAGCTGGGAGGCTATTCCATGCATCCACTACCCTCTCAGTAAAGTAATACTTCCTGATATTATTTTTAAACCTTTTGTCCCTCTAATTTAAGACTATGTCCTCTTGTTGTGGTAGTTTTTCTTCTTTTAAATATAGTCTCCTCCTTTACTGTGTTGATTCCTTTATATATTTAAATGTTTCTATCATATCCCCCCTGTCTCGTCTTTCCTCCAAGCTATACATGTTAAGATCCTTTAACCTTTCCTGGTAAGTTTTATCCCGCAATCCATGAACCGGTTTAGTAGCCCTTCTCTGAACCCTCTCTAAGGTATCAATATCCTTCTGAAGACACGGTCTCCAGTACTGCGTACAATACTCCAAGTGAGGTCTCACCAGTGTTCTGTACAATGGCATGAGCACTTCTCTCTTTCTACTGCCCTACAATACCTCTCCCTACTTTCTGTTAAACCAAAGGCATTCTGCTGGCATTTCCTGCTGCTCTATTACATTGTCACCACTGCCTTTAAGTCATCAGAAATAATCACCCTAAATCACTTTCCCTCATATGTTGAGAGGTTAAGAACTCTATCAAATGATACCAGCCTCTGCCCTTGGGTTTTCGTCCAAGATGCATTATCTTGCTTATCCATTAAATGTCAGTTGCGCAATTTCAGCCATTTTCTAAAGTTTACCTAAATCGACTTTGTCCACATTTAGCTTATCCCTCCTGGAACATCAACCCACAGTACATTATCACTTAGTATATCCAACAGCAAAAAAGACATACCTTACCTGCATCAAGACCTTCTGCAATATCACTAATAAAAACAGTATTAAAGACTAAGATTAGTACACAGATCCCTGAGGTACCCACTGGTGACAAGTCCAAGCTTCGGGCTATTCCATTAACTACAACCCTCTGTTGCCTGTTACTCAGCCACTGCCTTACCCATTCAACAATATTTGAATCCAAACTTAAAGATTGCAGTTTATTGATAAGCCTTCTATGTGCAACAGTGTCAAAAGCCTTACTGAAATCTAGGTAAGCAATTATCGCTTCCCTTTAATGCTGTGACATCTTTGCTGAAAAATTTCCATGTATGAAGAAATTTGCTGGGAAAATGTTCTCTATATTTGGGTCTGCATATATTTGTAAGCAAAGTTTTTCTTGCATGAAGATCAACAAGAGTAAATATAGATGCTCTTTGACAGACATTAACTTGCAGGCTGTGATGAGAATCTCAACAAGCAACCTCACTCCTGATTTCAAAGAAATTGTAGAAAAGTGTGCTAGGGTACATTTGTCTCATTAAACTGATACTAAAATTATATGTGCTTGCAGCTCTAGATGATATGAAATTAGCACTATAAATAAATTGAATAAAAATACCACTATTTAATTTAATTTATATTTATTGATTTTTATGATACAATTTTACCTTTTCTGAAATGCAAAGTTAACTAACGAATGCAATCATTTTAAAAGGTGCGGCCCTCCGCTAACCTCTGCTCCCATAAAGTGGCCCCCGAGCCAAAACAATTGCCCACCCCGGCCTAAAGTATTTGAAATGTGAGATGCACCTCTAATGTGGAGAATGATCAGATGTAACCGGGAGGCTTGGAGTTGTGGACATATGCATTTGAACTGCAAGCAATAGTCTGAAGTATGCATTGGATCTTGAGTATTGTGATGTGTGAAGATGTCAAATGCCATTGTGGTCTGTTGAGCATAGAAGGAGCTTACATGAGCATTGGGGCAAGTGGGCAAGCAAAGTGGTAGTGCTCCATGTCTGGCCACAGGCTGAACCCTACAATGGGATTTGGATCCAAAGGAATTATAACATCTCTTGGGTTTTGTGAGTGAAAAGCAGGGCACAACCTTGAATTTAAATGTCAAAAAAAGTTTCATCTGAAAACACCACAACTAAAAAGACACAATTTTAAATACTGGCAGAGTTATTTTCTCAAGTGTGAATTATCTGGAATATAAAGTGAATACACAAACTGAAAAAATCTGCAGAATTTTTTAATATTCAGTTGTCAACTGCACTTTGACTTCCGGATAATTCATATCTCAGTGAATAAACTTGCGTAGGTAATTTCAATCTATTATGTGTGATTTCTAGAAGTACATTTTTACTAATTCAAACTGTGACACTACTGCTTAATGCAAGGGTTTACAGGGTTTCCATGGACACAAATCTCTCAGTCCTACAGATCTCACATCTAATAGCTGTAATTCCTGCAAACCACTAATAGCACAACAATTTGTAGAATATACAAAATGCATACCTCTCACTCTCCAGTGGATAGCCCCTGTGGTCCAAGTGGATATCTTTTTGCAGGAGATAATCCCACTGTTGAATGTCTTTTCCCTGCCTCCCTTTTTGACTTGGTGCCCAGAATAGAATTTTGTTTTCTTGGGGCAGGTATAATAGTCTCCTTGGTAACTGACACATGCCACAAAGCAGGACCGACAGGGACAGCATATAATTAGCATTTTGTGCATAAACAGTAGTGGCCATTGTTCTCACTGTTACTATAACTAATAGTACAGATATTGTTAAAGTACATGTTAACAATAATAGGATATGTGCAATAATGCCAGTTAAACTTGCATGCATAGGAAATTGGAATATATCCTATGAAAACTGATAGATAAAATTTATATATAACATGCACTAACACCAGGAATGGACTAACAACCTTCTGGGCCCCTGGGCAAATTGATCTCTTAGACCCCTTATAACAGTACCAATTTTTTTTTTTTTAAATATTAAATGTTGGTTCTTTCACATACATGCACAAAGACAAGCTCACTACACACATCTCACTACAGAAAGTTCACACTGACATGCACATGAAGTTCACTTCACACAAGCTCACTAATACACACAAGATCACACAGCTCACTACAGACAGCTCCCTGACATGCACACAATCAGGGCCGACATTAGGGGCCCTATGCAAAAAAACTTCACAACGCCCCCCCATTCCCTCTTTCATACCTCTTCATCATGTATAGTGTGTATGTATAGGGGTGTAGTGTTTCTTTTTTTTTTTTTTATTCTTTATTTTTGTAGTGCTTAGAATTACAGATACGCTTATTGCGCCATGACAACAGATATAAGCCAATAGAGTAACACAAAAATATTCAGTAACATGGCTAGCATTTACAGCACATTTTTTATAAGGTCAGATTTGGACTGACTGTCTGTAACATGAATGGCATCCATACTGGGAACTACATGAAGGAAAAATTGACAGTTTGAGCTATCTTATAAGCATTCAGAGTTTAAACGTGGTTGAGGCCTACGGTGCGCCTAGGGCTGAGTAGGTGTGTGAGCATTATTTTTAGAATTATAATGCCTGGCGCCTTAAGCCGAATATGTGACAGGCGAGCATATCTAGGGAGTTGAGTGGTTAAATAGCATGACGCACAGCAAGGGTTGATTGTCGGCTTTCTCAGTGTGAATGTGTCAGCTAGTCAGCCTGTTGTGTGTGACATTTTCTTAAGTACGTATGACATTCTATCACTGGACATTTATGTGAGGCCTAGACAATTCAAATAAAAACAATAATTATAATCAGAAGAAGGCAGTGCAGTCATGCAACTCAGAGTCAATCAACAGTGGGCCAATGTAAATTTGAGAAGCGAAAAAAGAAAAAAGATATGATAAAAGAAGCCCAGGCTCTGCGCTGCTTGGTGCTTGGTAGTGCCAGGTTCAGTCAACCGATGCCGCTTAGCGGTCGTTTGCCGGATTCCAGCTGCTCTGCTATCCTGCTATGGTGTTTCCAGACGCCGGTTAGGAAGGGTATGTTGTTACCAGTTTGAGTTCCAGGTTTGAGGCTGTGCTGATTTGTGGTCAGGGACCCCACTCTCCATGGCTTGCAAGGTTTGATGCAGGGCTGAGGTTTGTCCTTTTGGTAGTTCCCACCTCCATGCTGCTGATGGCTTCGTTGGGCTCTGTTGCTTGCGTGCTGGTAGAGCTTTCGCCACGGGTGCGTGCTGCTGTGCCCTCTGGAGCTTGCGTGGGGTAGTGTAGAGGTTGGCAGTCGGCCAGGAGCTAACCAGAGGTGCCTTCTCGCTCCGGGCTTGTAGCAGGGCCGGCATCTTGTAGCCACGGACTTGGGGACTATTGAAGGACGAGTCCTTCCCTTTCGGGGTAGGTCTGGAGATCCTGGGATTGGTGGTATGCCGCCGTCGGCGGGTGGATCTCTGCCTACGTGGTCGATGCACCGGGGTTAATCCCCTGTTGGCCCTGGGCCCAGATGGGCTGGTGTGGAGATTCTTGGACTGAGTTTTCATGGCTTTGCCCAAAGGCAGTCTGGTCCCACTCCAAACGGTGTCGCCTTGTTGGCCCTCCGTACCTCCGATCTCTAGCAGCTTGGATCACTCTTCCTTATGTCGGGCCGAGATCTTTGCCCAGAAGGCTTCAAACAGCCCGTCTAGGCGGGTAGTGAGGGAGTGGTTTGTGTTGGGGCTTAGTGGTGGAGGCCCAGGTTGTCCACGAGGCTGCGTGTCTGCCATTTTGATATGGTGGTCTGCTTGCAAGTTCGGTGCGTGGATGGGGTCGGTGAACGCTTTTAGGGTCCACTGGGGCTTGCCCGTCGAGGTGATTGGGACCGGGATAACCCCCACCGGTCCTAAGGGGGGGGGGTAGCCAACTGCTGCGGGTGCTGCATGCGGTTATGGGCTGGGAGAGCGGCCGCCTCTCCATTGCCCTGCTTAGTATAGGCCCCAGGCTTGGTCATTCCGGCGTTATTTCTGGGCATGTGAGGTATCCCCCTGTTCACCAATGTCTGCAGATCAAGTTGTGGTGAATTGGGGATCAGGATTATTTAGTTTGCCCCCGATTTTAGCCAGTAATTGGCCATAGGCCCAGGAGCTCTTGGTTTGTGCGTCTGCACTGCTACACAGTCAGGCCACGCCCCGGGGTGTAGTGTTTCTATAGGGGATTTATTAAATTAATTATTATTTCAAAATAAATATTAATTCTCCCTTCCCTGTTGGTACCTTGCAAACAGGGAGGCATGCTGATCTCTGGTGGTCCAGTGTGCTGGGAATCTGTCACACACACAAAGTTACAGGCAGACAGTCACACACAAACAGTTACAGGCACAATCACACACATGCACAATCTGTTACAGGTAGACAGATACACATACACAGTTGCAGGCAGTCACACACACACATAGAGGCAGAGAGTCACACACACACATAGAGGCAGAGAGTCACACACACACACACACAGTTACAGACAGTCACACACACAGTTAAAGGCAGACAGACACACAGTTGCAGGCACAAAGATACACACACAGCTGCAGTCACACACACGCACACACTGTTACAGGCAGACAGATACACATACACAGTTGCAGGCAGTCACACACATACACACAGTTAGATAGCCACACACATACCGTT